TACTTTGGTGAACAATTTACAGGCCAAATATTTCCCCCCTGAGCTTAAAGTCCTTCTCAAGAATAGATTCCATGCACAGAACATTAATGTCCCAAGACCAGAAGAGTTATGGGAAGATACCAAGGGCATCCTATGTGAAGAGAGTGAAAGATCATTATCAAGACTGGAAAAAAAGAAAGAAAACAAAACAAAATAAAAATGAGGGAGCAGATGACGTTAAAGAATGGCTTGGAAAGACACTGTGAAGTATTATTGTGAAATGTGCAAAGACTCCGGGAAGAACTTGTTAATCATTCCTCAAACTGAAAGAACTGAAGTGAAGATTAATGTCTTGAGTTGCATTACTGAAGGATTCTATGTACAGAAAATTGATGCAGGAAACAGCAAAAGATGCTAGAAGGAATGGACAGAGTCATCATACTAGAACGTATTGGTCGATGTCCAACCATCTTAATTGATGCTAAAGGAAGAAATTAAAGCTGCATTAAAGATAGTGGCAAAATCAAGATTCCAGGATCTGTGGAATACCAATTGAGCTGTTTCAATAAGAGAGTGCAATCTTGAAAGCACTCATTCATCTATGTGAGTGTTTCCCAAAGTAGGTGATAAAACCCCACTGTGGGGTGCTGGAATGATTCAGGGATGCCCCGAAAGCACATACATGATACACTTTGTCATGAATTGTGGGCTATCGTACAAAAGTAATTTTGATTTCTTTTTTTGAAACGGGGGCAGTAGGCCAAATAAGTTTGCTCTGTATAAGGAAATTTGGAGGACTTTGTCTTGGCCAATTGAGTGGAAGATACCCATATTTGTGTCCATTCTAAAGAAACACAATCAAATGGAATGTGAGAACCCTTTAACATGATCATAAATGTCATATGCTAGTGAAATTTTACTGGAGATAATTTGATAGCAAAAGTGAGAACTTTCACAGGAATGAAGAGGCATGTGTGTGAGGCTACAGTGTAGTGCAAAGTGAAAAGGTTTGTGGCAGGGTTGTATTCTTTCATCTGAATAATCTATCAGAAAAAGAAGAAGATGGCGTTAAGATGAATGGAAATCTTAACAACCTGCGGTAGTTACATAATCTGGTGTCAACTTGAGAATATTAAGAGTGAAGGGGTAGAGTCTAGCCTGTCAATCAGGTCACAACTTGATGACCTCGTTTAGAGGCATGAAGGGGATAAATAGCTCACTGGAGGCCAGATACACTCACTCCCTTTGAAATATTCCTGATGACAAGCCTGATGGAGCTACGCTGATGCAGCCAGAGCCCTGGAGCTGGAGGAGCCACGTGGAGACCCACGCCA